CTACCTCAGGGCCAATGGATTTCCGCTGGCCAGGATACACTCTGACAGGGCACGTGAGTTCAGGACTAAGCAACTGCGAAAGTGGTGCCGGGAGCGGGACATCTACCAGACTTACACGGAAGGTTTGGCCCCGACGCAGAATGCCATGGCGGAGAATCAGGTGAAGTGGCTGAAGGCAAGGGCGCGTGTGTTGCTCACGGCTTCCGGTTTGAACAAGAAGTACTGGCCCTGTGCAGTGAAGCATGCGTGTGCAGCCCACAACACTCGTCAGCTTGGAAAGACAATGACGCCGATTCAGTTCGGGTCCCAAGTGATGGTGAAGACAAAAAAGGATGTGGGGCCTTTCGACCCAAGATGGGAGGAGGCAGTGTACCTGGGTCCGGCCGATGATGTGCGTGAAGGGCATGTACTTGAACTGGCGGATGGAACCTGGCACAGAACGCTGCACATGAGGGTGGTTCGAGATGATGAAGTACCTTCTGGTGGAGATGAACCATGGGTGGCTGATCGCGTAGATCCAGGACGGCGAGTTCGTGGAAAGAGGCGATTGGAAGATCCAGATGGCCCGGGAGTACGTGTGCTACAAGAAGGGCAAGAAGATGGAGAAGAAGAGATTGCGGAGCAAAGGGCCCACGACAAACTTGAATATAACAAGTACGAGGACGAGGATGCGTTGGAGATCGTCCGAGCACTTCGGTTGACAAGTGGTCCGAAAAGGAGGGGGACACAGGACTTTGATTGGTGTGGGAGTTGGAGCACGGGGGCCTACGTCCACGGAGGAGTCTGGGGCGTGCAAACCAACACGACCAAGTTCCCCAAGGTCACCCGTTTCCTCACAACCTTTCTCAGAAACAAGATGAAGGAGCCAATGCCTTTCGGAACCATCGTCGTGAATGTGAACCAGGAGCTACTACCTCATCGTGACCTGCACAACGAGCGAGAGTTCGCGAACTCGGTGTATGGCATGGGGGACTTTTCTGGAGGAGAAGTGTGGGAGCAGACGTACCTGGAAGAAAACACGGCGCTGGATGTGTACAGGGCAACAACCAAGGGATTGGTGCGTGGAAGAACCATGGATGTGAAGGGAAAGATCCAAGCCTTGTGGGCTCACAGGTGGCACGCGACGATGCCATGGACAGGAACCCGAGTCACCGTGGTGGGCTATGTTCCGAGGAAGTTCAAGAATGTGGGTCCTGAGAACTACGACATCTTGCGGGATCTGGGATTCATGGTGCCTGTTGGGGCAGATGAGGAGGAGGAGGAGGAAAATGATGTTCAAGAGCCGCAGCAGAAGGTGATGCAGGGAACCGACATCGAGAAGGGCGGTGGTTGGAGTGAAAGTGTTCATGTGCCTGGGGGACATGTGGAGCTGGGAGTGCACTGGACAATGAAGTTTGTGCATGAAGGGGATGGAGGCGAGGGTGAATTGAGAGCAACACCAACGTTCCCCGTCCAGGACCACGTCCGTGAAAGAGTACAAGAACGACTTCTATGGGCACGAGAACTGTTGGAAGAAGAAAGGGAGATATGGGAGAGACAAGAGAGGCAGACGGGCATGGTGGATGAGCATGTGAAGAACGTCATCGACAACCTGGAAGAGACCGTCGCCTACATGGAGCTCTACCTCATGCAAGACAACCAGGCTCATGTGGATGAAGTTCGCTTGAAAATGCTGCGTGTGAACAAGGTTTCGGTGGAGGAAGCGGTGACCCAGAATGTGGAGCAGCTGCTGCAAGGACTTGAAGGGCCCTTGGAAGTGGTGCACAACGTCAGCCTGCAGGAAGTAAGAGAGCACTTGACCGACTGGGTGCCGAGCATGAAGAAGGAGGTCGCGACGCTGGAGACATCCGGGACTTTGAGACCAATACCTTTGTCTCAGGCAAAGCGGCAATCTGAAGCGGGTGAGTTGATCTTGGTGCCGGGCAAAACTGTGTTCACGGTGAAGCCGGAGGATGTGCGTCAGAGCAAATACAAACGGAAAACCCGTTTCGTAATATGCGGGAATTTTGTCAAGGATGGTGACACCACGGAGCTCTACACCGCGAATGCAAAGGCCGAGAGTGTGAGATGTTCACTGGCGACTGCGGCGAGTCGAAACTGGGAAGCAGCTGGAACGGACATTAACAGCGCCTTCACCTTGACACCGATGACGGAGAGTGCTACGCAATACGCGGTGACGGCTCCGAAGATTCTGGTGGAAGCTGGTGTGGTGCCCCCGGGAACAGCGTACAAGGTGGATCGAGTCTTGTATGGCTTGCGAGAGGCTCCTCGTCTGTGGGGAATCTTTCGGGACAGGCGGATTCGCAACGCCCGCCTGACGGTGGATGGGCGCGACATGAAGTTCACGCAGCTTGAAACGGACGAGTCGGTGTGGCGTTTGCATCCGGTGGATGATCCACAGGAGACCATCGCGATGATGGTGGTTTATGTCGATGACGTGTTGTTCCTCGAGGAGGGCGCTGGATGGAAATGCAGTCCGCTGGAGTTTGTGGGAAAGGACCCTGTGCGCTACCTGGGAATGGAGATACGCAGCAAGATGAAGGACGGAGGGATCGCCTATCACGTGTGCCAAGGGGGCTACATTGGAGATCTCTTGCGTGAGCATGGTGTGGAAACATGGACTCCGTCGTTGGTACCTGCAACCCGGGAGGCAATGCCACAGGTCCCCGAGCCGGAGGATGGAGCCGAGGAGGCAGAGCCGGATCCTTCGGCGGTGCATGCTGCTCAGAAACTGGCTGGAGAACTGTTATGGCTCAGTATGCGGACTCGACCTGACGTGAGCTTTGCTGTGGCTCATGTATGCAGTGCCGCTACCCGATGTCCTGAGGCTGCGCTGAAACTGGGGCGCATGGTGTTGCGCTATCTTCGTGACACCGTGGACCTCGGCTTGACCTACGATGGCACGGGACCGACTGTGCTGGCTTATTCAGACACCAGCTATGCGCCGGGAGGCGGACGCAGCTTCGGATGTGCTGCGACGCTGTTGCATGGAGGATTTGTGGCTTGGAGAATGGCGCGACAACCCGTGATATCTCTCTCGGTGGCGGAGGCGGAGTTGTATGAGGTCATCAATGCCTACCAGCAAGCCATGAGCATCAAGGAGTGGATCAAGGAGATTCATCCGAAGGTGGACGTCGCCATGTTGATCGACAACCTGGCGGCACTGGGGCTCGCGTCAAGTTCCCCGGGAAGCTGGAAGACACGTCACCTTAGGATACGGGCGCGATTCCTGCGTCAGGAAACAGCGTCGGGGCGTCTGGAGCTGAAGCACTCCCCGGGGGAAGTGCAGGCGGCGGACATGGGAACGAAGGCAGTTCCTGCACCACGACTGCGTGATCTTCGTGTTCTTTGGAAGATGATGACAGTTGGAGAGTTCCTGGAGGGCCCGAAGGAGGTGATCCTGAACGGGGTCAAACTGCCGGAGTCGGAGGTTCGCTTCAACCAGATGAGGATCATGATGATGTTGGTGGTGTGTGCCTTGGTTAAGGGCACGCAAGGGGCAGAGTTGTCCCAGGAGCCCAAGAAGGACCCTTTGCCCTACGACGCTGGAATCGAGTTCTATGGCTTGATGGTGCTTTGCGGCGTGGCGATGATTGGTATCTGGGAGGTGATGAAGTGGTGCCTGGGAAGATGCTGTGGCAGTGATGAAGCTGCAGTGCGAAGGGCCCGGAGGCTTCTGCGAATCCGAGATCAGACGACGAGGGCCCTTCAGGAGGAGCTGATGGGATTGCGGGCAGAAGAAGCGCAGGCTTCGCCTCCCGTGAGTCAGGGTTCCCCCGTGGCTATGTCATCATCGTCGCCGACTACTGCGTCAACTACACGTTTGGTGGAGAATGTGGAGCCAACTCGAGCAACCACAGCGGTTGCCGAGGAACGTCAACTGGGCGAAGAGCCCAACCCGCCTCGTACGAGGCAGAGCCCCGAGTACGACTTCGAGCTCTTCACAGGTGTCTTCTACAAGTCTGAACGTGGAGAAAAGGTGCACTTGTTCCACTGCCGTGGAATGAGGGAGGTCCGGTCGCGCGTGACGGAGTACAAGGTGTGTTCTCATTGTTTGGAGCGCTACCCCTTGCACTACCGCAGACCTTTCAATGATGCCCTGCTACGCCGACATGATGGACATTGAGCACCCCGAGTAAGACACCTAGTGGGCAGCGAGCCCACAAGGCGAGGAGGAGTGCTGGTGTGCTCACGTTTTTCCAGGAAGAAAGAGGTGCATGTCGCTGTGAAGCGGTCCAAGCCCGGTGAAGGGCAAAACGAGGCCCGTGAAGGGCAAAGAAGCACATGGCCCGGTGTGGGCACGCAACACAGTTTTTACATGTACAAGGCATCGCAGGTATAGCACCTGAACGAGTAAGACCAAGGGTTTCGTGTCGTTGCTGTCGTGGAGAGGAAAATTCGAGTGAACTCTGTGAGCCATGGCCAACCCTGCAGACTCCATGCCTCCTGGGACCTCCAACCAGGACTAAACCCTAAACCCTAAACCCTAAGCCTCTTGCATCATGGCTCTAAGAGCATCAGAGTCAATGGATTCAGTCGGCACTGCGACAAGCCGGCCCCTGCTTCGTGCAGGTTGAGCGCTTGACCTGTTGACCCTAGTTTAGGGTTTAGGGTTTATAGGGTTTGGGTTTAGGGCTTGGGGTTTAGGGTTTAGGGTTTGGGGTTTAGGGTTTCGGGTTCAGGGTCTAGGGCTTTGGTTTCAGGCTGCGTGGATATATGCTTGGTGACCCTGGTAGACTCCAACTGCCTCCCGAAACTGAAGCCCTAAACCCAAAAACTAAACTCTAGACCAACTCTGAACCCTAAAAACCTGAACCCTACACTCCAACCCTATCTGTGTGTGCGGGCGGCAGACTCGAAACCCTAGAACCCTCAACCCAAATCCCCCAAAAACCCTAAACCCTAGAAATCTAACTCCCGCACCCCTAAGCCCTAAACCCTCAATCCCCAAACCCTGTGTGTGTGTGTGTCTCGGGGGAGGGGGGATCGAGCTGCACCAGGTGTCGTTGTCCTGCTCTTTGGCGGCACTTGAAGAGTTCAAGCGGCTCCTGCAACTGGAAGCGCCCACCCTGAAGTCTTTCGGGTTTGGGGTTTAGGGTTGAGGGTTTATGGTTTAGGGCAGTTTAGGGTTCAGGGTTCACGGTTTTGGGTTTAGGGTTTAGGGGCCCTAAACTCCCCAGACCCTTCAAGTCAAAAAACGGGCCTAAACCCAAGACCTAAACGACTTGAGTTCTGGTTTCAGGGTTTGGTCTCAGCGCCAGGGGTTTGCTGTTTGGGGCTACGACCCTGCCTGCTGGTGTCGCCTTTCATACTTGTGCACGTGGCTGCCACTACGATGTGTGCCACGCTTGCATGGTGCCTGCGCCTCCGACAGTCGTGCAAAAGCCGCTCGGACCCGCTCCCTCGCAAGGCGAGCCTGCTTGGTTTCTCGAGGAGAAGCAGTGGGACGGCTGCAATCTTGCCAAGCTTTGCCGACGGCTGGCTGTCGCAGGACCAGTGGCGTCCTGTCCTTCGTCTTAGCTTGCGGCGCTGTTTGTCACCTTTCCGCGTGCGCGGGAGCTGAGTCTGCTACGCAGATCCTGGGGTTGCTCGGGGAGATTCGCGCCCGGCGGCCGGTGGACTTCGTGATCTATGACAACGCCTGCATGCTTGCCAGGTTCGTCCGCAACAAGGCTTCGCGCTCGCGGCTGTCCATTACTGGGCAGCTCGCGTCCGAGTGCCGCTATGTCCTGGATCGCTTTCATCGGCTCAATCATCGAGCTTGTTTGAACCCTCATCATCGTCTCTACCTTCCCGAGGTGGACATAGCTTGCTATCCAGTGCTCGCAGAGGTCAACGCGGCGCCGAACGAGCAATGGAATTTGTGGCTGGGGCAGTTTGCGCACACCGTGCGCCACATGAGATTTGAGACGCTCGAGCTTTACCTTCTTCTCGCGGCGGACTTGTGGAACAGCCTCATCGTGCCCGCGCGCGCCAGCAGCGTGCGCTGAAGACCCTGCTGCCTCTTCACCTTTGCCCGGATCCTCGGGCTCCAGCCTGAAGCGGCGCCGACCGGCGGTGTGCCTTGACTGATAGATTTTGGTGACCGATGTTCTCGTAGCCTTGTCCAGTTTCACCCATCCACCTGTTGCGGGCGGCGCTGTGCAATCGTGACGCAACCTCTGAGGACTCGCTTGTGACTTGGCGCCCAGTCTCGCTTCGGCATTCCTCGACGCTTTCACTTGTGTGCGTCGTGAGCAATCTGGAAGCCGCGCCCACAAAAAAAAAGCGTCGCACGGTGCTGGAGCCTGCAGCCGTCGGCAGTCTCGACATTCGTGACTGCCTTCAGCGGGCGTCTCCGCACGACTCGCCGCCTGCTGCGATTTCCCTGTCCCTCCGGCAGCAGTGTGCGCTTCTGGCCTGCTCCAAGGCCGATCTTCTCCTAGCTTCTGACGCTTGGCAAACTATATGCCGTCAGATTCGGCTCCTCTACTGGTTCAGGCCCAATTTGAATTTGCTTCCGCCGGACTTTCGGGCTGCTTTCGACCTGCCTTCGGGGTCTGCTGGTCTGCTGGAGAACGTGAGCGAGGTGCAGTTGGCGGTTCAGGGAGCTCTGCGCGCGGCGCTCTGCTGGTGGAGCGGCCACGCCTGTTTTCAACTCGCACGCAGCTGCTGTGCTCAAAATGTCGCCCTCTTGACATGACCCGCGCTTCCCTGCGGCCAGGTCCTTCGCCAGACGTCGACCGCCTCCTCTTCGGCGCTTCCAGCGACTGGCGATTATGGAGGGCCACTACTGTTGCGTGCCCTCCGAGCATTTTTCAGTGCTTGTTTTTCATGCAGGCCCGGACACGACGTGCTGACGTTCGCGTGCTGCGTGTGCTGCACCCCTGCGCCACCGCCGTGTGAATGCCTGGCCGGCTTTTTTGAAAGACGTTTAGCAGTCTTTCAAAAGAGCTCGTGGGGAAAGTTTCTTGCAGGTGCTGTCGAAGACTGCCACATGTTTGACGAAACATGTTTCCGCGTCTGGGGCGCGCATTGACGATGTTCTCCGCATCTGTTGCGCTGTGTAGCTAAGCGTGTTGCGAGGCAGAGACTCCTTGGCTCCTCGACAGGGTTCGTCTCATGCCACCGACTTTCCACTGCGCAGACTTCAGGCGCCGGCTAATTGTTGGAGCGCGTGCTGCTAGCGCTGCTGCTGACCTGGTGCGACGAGGCAAGGAAGCCTCGTGTCGGTCTTTCCGCGTGACTCACATGAGCAGAACTCGAACCCTCCACGACACGCAGACACGCCGGCTGGCCCAGACGGTCCCGGCCTCAGAGATTCGCTGCGTGTCCGCTTCTTCTCCTGTCAGTTCTGATCTGCGCGGGTTTTTTTCCTGACAACGCTTCGTCTGCTTCACTGTCTCCACCTTGGCTTACGAAGGGAAAGAGCTCTAAGGCAAGCTGAGAAGAAGCTTCTAAGAGGAGGCTTGAGGCTGGGCTGGGGGTGGGGCTGGGGCTCGAAATGGGGCTGGGCCTGGGGCTGGGGGCTGGGCTGGGGCTGGACCCGGGGCTGGGGCTGGTAGGGTTTAGGGTTGAGGGTTTAGGGCTTAGGCTTTAGTGTTGGGGTGGAAAGCCTAAACCCCAAACCCTCATCTACAGTTTAGGCTGAATTCTGAGAGCCCCAAACCTTCGCTCGCGTTTCTATGGCTTTAGCATATGGGGGGGGACTGATCGAAGTGATGGGCTCTTGTGGTACCCTAGGTAAACAAGAATGAAGAGTATGCAGCTATAGAGGCTAAACCCTAAACCCTAAACCCTAAACCCTAAGCCCTAAACCCCAAACCCTAAACCCTAAAAACTTCGGTGGAAGTACGATCAGGCTCCCGAACAGAAGCCTGGCGGTTTAGGGACATGGGTGTAGGGTTTCGTCCATAGGAGACAGCGGTCTAAAGCGTAGGAACTCTGTGGGCCCTGATCATTTGTCATGGTTCCCTCATTTTGGGGTTTTGGTTTGAGGTACAGCATCCTAACCCCCAAAGTTTAGGATTTGGGGTTTATATAGGGTTTAGGCTAACCTGACAGCCTAAGCCCGAAAACGGGCCTGTGAGGTTGCATCCTGCTGACACCTTTCGCCTTCTGCATGGAGGGCGCTCACATTGCCGCGCAGCGCCAGCAGCACCTTGCGCCCTACAAGAGCTGGGTTTAGGGTTTGGGGTTTTGGCTTAGGGCTTAGGGCTTAGGGCTTAGGGCTTAGGGCTTAGGGCTTAGGGCTTAGGGCTTAGGGCTTAGGGCTTAGGGCTTAGGGCTTAGGGCTTAGGGCTTAGGGCTTAGGGCTTAGGGCTTACGGCTTAGGGCTTAGGGCTTAGGGCTTAGGGCTTAGGGCTTAGGGCTTAGGGCTTAGGGCTTAGGGCTTAGGGCTTAGGGCTTAGGGCTTAGGGCTTAGGGCTTAGGGGCTTCGGTGGTTTTTTTAGCGCTTTTAGATGATTTGTTTGGAGTTTGGGCTGTGGGGTCTGGGATTGTGGGTTTCGCGTTTGGGTTTGGGCCTTCCCCTAATTTGGGGTTTAGGATTTCGGCCGAAAACCCTAAACCCTAAACCCCAAACCTAAACCCCAAACCCTAAACCCTAAACCTCAGTAGACCTCCGGGCCTTGCACCATCTTCGCCACCCTCAGGTTGTGCCAGTGGGTTCTAGGGGGTCCTTTTGAAACACCCCTTGTAGGGTTTAGGGTTTAGGGTTTAGGGCTTAGGGTTTAGGGTTTAGCGCTTTGGCGCTTTAGGGGTCAGGTGTTTAGGGTTCAGGGGATTAGGTTTAGGCGGTTTAGGGTGTAGGGGTTTAGGGTTTGGGACTTTCGGGTTTAGGGGTTCAGGGTCTAGAGGTTTAGGGGTTGAGGGTTTAGGGTTTAGGGGTTTGGGTTTAGTCCTAAAGGTCAAGCTACGCCCTAAACCCCAAGTCTACCCAGAGCGCTGTATCCTGCAAAAAGGTGGCTGTCTCGGCGCCTGTGTCTGCTTACCAGCTTCGTGGGTTGCTTGGCCAGCATTTGTCTGGTGGTGACCCCCAACACCCTAAACCCTAAACCCTAGACCCTAAACCGGAAACCCTAAACCCTAAACCCTAAACCCCTAAACCCCCAAACCCTAAACCCTAATCCCTAAACCCTAAACCCTAAACCCTTACCCCTAAACCCTAAACCCTAAACCCGAAACCCTATAACCCCTAAGCCCCAAACTCGAAACCCTAAACCCCAAACCCTAAACCCTAAACCCTAAACCCTAAACCCTAAACCCTAAACCCTAAACCCTAAACCCTAAACCCTAAACCCTAAACCCTAAACCCTAAACCCTAAACCCTAAACCCTAAACCCTAACCCTACAAGTGCCCGCAACAACCGGCCCTGGTACAAGCCCTGAAGCCCTCCCTTGCGCGAAAGGCTTGACTTATCGCTTCGCCATGCCGGCAGATGCCGGCCTGGCGCAGGCGTGGGGTTGGGGGTTTGGGGTTTGGGGTTTAGGGTTTGGGGTTTAGGCTTTAGGGTTTGGGGTTTAGGGTTTAGGGTTTAGGTTCTAGGGTTTAGGGTTTAGGCTTTAGGCTTTGGGCTTTAGGCTTTAGTAGGAATATCAAAGCTTAACTTGTTTTTGTTCCTTGGTTAGTGTAGCAGGGTTGAGGGCCGAGGGTTTGGGGCTTTGGGTTAGGGTTGCTCCATATACTCGTCTATTCGGCTGAAGAGGGTTTAGGGTGGTTTAGGGTCACCCTAAACCCTAAACCCTAAACCCTAAACCCTAAACCCTAAACCCTAAACCCTAAACCCTAAACCCTAAACCCTAAACCCTAAACCCTAAACCCTAAACTCCCTAAACCCTAAACCCTAAACCCTAAACCCCTAAACCCCTAAACCCCTAAACCCCTAAACCCCTAAACCCTGAACACTTAAGGCTCAAGTTGAAAGGGTCAAAGCAAGAAGCGGAGAGGTTTGGGCGGTCTTCGCTGCGTATCTGCTCGCCCGCGGCATTTGGCTGCTGAGCTGCCAAAAATTAGGGTTTGGGGTGTAGGGTTTGGGGTTTGGGGTTTAGGATTTGGGGTTTAGGGCTTGGGGTTTAGGGCTTGGGGTTTAGGGTTTAGGGTTTGGGGTTTAGGGTTTAGGGCTTGGGGTTTAGGGCTTGGGGTTTAGGGTGTAGGGGTTCAGGGGCTCAGGGTTATTTAGGGCTCAGGGTGCAGTCGGCTGTCAGCCTTAGAAGATTGTTTTTGTTGTTGTTGTTTGTTTTCTTCTGGTTTTGGCTGTAGGGTTAAGTAAGTTAGGTGTCAACCCTAAACCCTAAACCCTAAACCCTAAACCCTAAACCCTAAACCCTAAACCCTAAACCCTAAACCCTAAACCCTAAACCCTAAACCCTAAACCCTAAACCCAAATGCTTCAACCGAATCAGGAAGCTTTTGCACCTAGTCTCCATTTCGTAGGTCCTGGGTTTCGGATTCAGGGCTTAGGGCTTCCGACCTGAGACACGAAGGCCAAGGGCTTTAGGGAAGTTTAGGGTTTGGGGTTGGGTTTGGGGTTTAGGGTTTGGGGTTTGGGGTTTAGGGTTTGGGGTTAGGGTTTCGGGTCTAGGGCTTAGGGTTTAGGGATATTGAGGGCTTGGTGTCTCATGCTTAAGGGCTTGGGGGTTTGGAGGGTTTGGGGTGCAGGTCTTGGGTTTATAGTGGGTCTCTAACCCCTTGAGGCCTTAAACCCCTAAACTCTAGACCCTAAACGCTAAACCCTAAACCCTAAACCCTAAACCCCAAACCCTAAACCCTAAGCCCTAAACCCTAAACCCTAAACCCTAACCCCAAGACCCCAAAGCCTAAACCCCAAAGCCCTCAACCCCTAGAAGCCCTAAACGCCCCAATATCCTAAGCCCTAAACCCTAAACCCTAAACCCCAAACCCTAAACCCTAAACCCTAAACCCTAAACCTCAAACCCTAAACCCTAAACCCTAAACCCTAAACCCTAAACCCTAAACCCTAAACCCTAAACCCTAAACCCTAAACCCTGAACCCTGAACCCTAAACCCTAAACCCTAAACCCTAAACCCTAAACCCTAAACCCTAAACCTTACAATCCCCGTAAAGAATCGAAGCAGGCCCTGGTGTTGAGCCTCCTGATCCACACCCAAAGCCCCCCACCCCCCTCCCCAAGCCCTAAGTACAACCGTTTTAGGGCTTCGGGGGTTATAGGGTTATAGGGTTATAGGGTTATAGGGTCATAGGGTTATAGGGTCATAGGGTCATAGGGTCATAGGGTTATAGGGTTATAGGGTTATAGGGTTATAGGGTTATAGGGTTATAGGGTTGAGGGGTTTGGGGTGTTAGGGGTATAGGGTTACATAGGGTTATGGGAATATAAGGCTTAGTGTTTAGGGTTATAGCGTTATAGGGGGATATGGTTATAGGGTTATAGGGTTCAGGGTTATAGGGATATATGGTTATAGGGTTTGGGGTTTGGGGGTTATCGGGGCTGGTGTTTGAGGGATTAGAGTCGAAACCTACGGCCTACAATCCCTACAGACAGGGTTTAGGGTTTAGGGTTTAGGGTTTAGGGTTTCGGGTTTAGGGTTTAGGGTTGGCGATTGTCCAGAAGAACGAAAAATACCACGGAGTGTGGTCTCGTCGGCGTCAGCGGCAGGCCCGAATGGACAGCTCGCAGTAAGCGAGCCTTTGTGCTGAGCCGTCGAGAGCGAAACAAGCAGGTCCACGCGAAAAATGGCAACGGGTCTTCCGAGGAGGTCGCTTCAGACGAGGGGATGGCGGCCATCCACGGCAACGAGGTTGCCAGGCAACGGTGCGAGCGGGGCCAACTCGGACGGGAGGATGTGAGTGAGGGTCCCGGTGTTGCGCAAAAGCCCTAAGCCCTCCCCCCTAAACCCTAAACCTTAAACCCTAAACCCTAAACCTTCAGGTATGCCTGGGGCCTGTGGGGCCCTCGCGGAGTTCTGACGAAGCCACAGCCTGCTGTTGAGTCGTAAGGTCTTTGGGGTTCAGGGTTTAGGGTTAAGGGTGTAGGCTTTAGGGTTGAGTCGTAAGGGTTTAGGATTGGGTTTGTCTAATTATGAGTTGCGAATGCTGAAGAACTTCTCATGTGCAACACATGCTCCCAAACCCAAAACCCTTAACCTTAAACCCTGAACCCTACACCCTAAATTCTAAACCCTTAAAGTAATAAGCAAGCTCCAGGTTCGTCTAGGGGGTTTTGGCCGCCCCGCCCACCCCCCCCACCCCCCCAGTGGTTCAAGGAATAGGGTTCAGGGTTTAGGGCCACTGGAGCACAGAGGAGGCCCTTATTCCCTGGCCCTTATTCCCTTTTTTACGTCTTAGGTCCCCGTGTAAGCCCTTCTAAACCAAAAAGGGCATCCATTTTATCACTAGGTTTCTCTTGGGGATTAGGGTTTTCTCTCCTTCAATAAAGTCTTCGTTTAAACCTCAACCCTCAACCCTCAACCCTCAAGCCGAAACCCTAAACCCTAAACCCCTTTGTCTTTCCACGATACTGGTACCAGTCCAAAACCCGAAAGCCCCGCAGGCCTGCACCTTGAAACAGAATCATAAACCGTAATCCTAAACCCCAAGCCGTAAACCCGCCCTAAAGTTTAGGGTTTTGGGTTTAGGGTTTAGGGTTCAGGGTTGCCTAAACCCCAAACCTGGGCCAACCCCTCTCTGAACCCACAGCAGTGCTGAGTTTTCCTGCATGCCGGAGGCATGATCCACGGGACTAAAGGAGGGACCTTTTAGAGCTTGAAGGGCCCGGGGGTTTAGAGCTTAGGGTTTAGGGTTTAGGGTTTAGGGTTTAGGGTGATAGCGCAGGAGAGAGTGGTCCCTCCGAGCATCCCTCAAATCATCTATTTTGAGCTTAAGCATCGCAGCTTCCCGCCTGGCAGGGGACGACAAAAGTTTAGGGTTAAGGGTTTGGGCGTTCCCCAAACCCTAAACCCTCAACCCTCTGTCAACCCTAAAACCTAGACCCTAAACCCTTAAACCCGAAACCCTAAACCCTAAACCCTAAACCCTAAACCCTAAACCCTAAACCCTAAACCCTAAACCCTAAACCCTAAACCCTAAACCCTAAACCCTAAACCCTAAACCCTAAACCCTAAACCCTACACCGCCGGTCCTCCATAAACGTCGACAGTTCGGAGCCTGAAGTCCTAAAGACCCAGCTTCGAGACCACGAACCCCCAGAACCCCTTGAAACTTTTAGGATTAGGGTTCAGGATTCAGGGTTCAGGGTGCAGGATTCAGGGTTGAGGGTTGAGGGTTTAGGGTTTAGGGTTTAGGGTTTAGGGTTCAGGGTTTAGGGTTTAGGGTTTAGGGTTTAGGGTCTTGAACCCCAAACGTTCACATGAAAGCTTCGGTGCCCTGTGCCCTCAAGAGCAAAATAGATGTATCCTACATACAGAACTAGGGTACCTAGCGGTGCCTACACTTCCCTTGCTGGTGTGTGTGTGTGTGTGTGCAGGGAGCCAGTAAGTAGAAAAAGTAGAACCAGAGGCACCCTGCACAAGGGATCCTAAGTGGGGTGATAGCAACCCTACTTGCTAATCTACTTGCTTTCTTCCCCCCCCCCCCCCCCCCCGGTGCCCGATCATCGGGTCCCCCCCGTGCGATCATCGGGTGAGGGCTTAGGGATTGAAACCTACACCCTACGCAGGCTAGCTGAGGTGAGGATCCCATTGAAAACGGATCTCGTTAACCTTAATTACACAAGCAAAGGTGCCTAGTTTCGGGAGTCCGGTACGCTCGACGCCCCCTAGATGCAGCCCTGTAACTGGAATGCAATGATAGAGAGATGTAAGTATGTATGCATGTACGTATGTATTGGCTTTCTTGGAGGATCTGGTGGCTCAGTAAGTAGTCAAAAGTCGGGCTAATAAGAAGGAGAACCCACACTAGGTAGGGTCCTCTTTGTAAGACCCTAACCCCTCAACCCCAAAACCCTAAGCCCTCAACCCTAAACCCTAAACTGCGCCAGGGATCTGAGTTGGTGGTGTTAGACTCCAGACCAGGGGTGGTGGAAGGGGCTGGCATTCCCTAAACTTAAGAACCCCCAACAAAATGAGAAACACGTTCTTCCTTATAAGGGCAATGTAGAGATCATTCTTCTTTGTTTTTTGGGGTGTTCTTAAGCAAATAGTGGTAAACGGGCTTTTTGAGGCCTTACTCGGGCTTATGGTACAAGTAGGACCTCATTTGGGGGTCTGCCTGACGTGCTCCTGGCTCCTTATGACTCCCATGGCTTTGCTTGAAGTAGTGTAGCTGCATCAATTATCACCTAAACTGAGGTACCTCAACCCTGTCTCTACCCGCAATCCTAACCCAAACCCTATATAGACCCCAAAGCCTAAGAACCCCGAGCCCTAAACCCCAAACCCCCGAACCCCAAACCCTAAACCCTAATCAGTCCAAGGTCAACTTGTTCTATCTCTATGGCGTGGGGGGCTCGGAACCTGCTTGTTCCCCCTCCCCCCGGCCCCTGGCACCTGCGTCTTTTCGTAGGGTTTAGGGTTTAGGGTTTAGGGTTTAGGGTTTAGGGTTTAGGGTTTAGGGTTTAGGGTTTAGGGTTTAGGGTTTAGGGTTTAGTGTTTAGGGTTTAGGGTTATCTTGTTTTCTCACACAAGACGGCGCGCCGGGCTTCGGGTTTAGGGCTTCTTGGGGCCGATCAGGCATGAGTTTGTTTAGGGTTTAGGATTTAGGGTTTAGGGTTTAGGGTTTAGGGTTTAGGGTTTAGGGTTTAGGGTTTAGGGTTTAGGGTTTAGGGTTTAGGGTTTAGGGTTTAAATGGGAACCCGCGGTGGCTTCTTTCTCACAGAAACAGGGGGCAACATGTGATCTTGGGGCCTATCAAGCTTGAGTTTGGACATTTTGGTCCGGGAGCTTCCTTTAGAGGCCTCTAAACCCTCAACCCTCACCCTAAACCCTAAACCCTAAACCCTAAACCCTAAACCCTAAACCCTAAACCCTAAACCCTAAAAGACGGCGCAGTTTTGTCTCCTCTCTCAATGGCGGTTGTTTGCAAGCCTATCAGGCCAGTCGTCAGGGCAGCCCAGACCTAAGCCCTGAACCCTACAGAAGGGTTTAGGGTTTAGGGTTTAGGGTTTAGGATTTAGGGTTTAGGGTTTAGGGTTAGGGTTCAGGGTAGAACCTCTAATCCCTAAGCCTGTTAGCAGCTGTCCTATCCCAGGATCCCTAGACTCGAAACCCTAAACCCTAAACCCTAAACCCTAAACCCTAAACCCTAAACCCTAAACCCTAAACCCTAAACCCTAAACCCTAAACCCTAAACCCTAAATGCCCTCTTGCCTTTTGCAAGAGCTGGTCAGGTTGTGCCCATCACTTACCAGGGTGCCACGTACAACATCCCGGTCGGGGGCTCGATTCGGGGGTTGAAGGCTCATAGGGTTTAGGGTTTAGGGTTTAGGGTTTAGGGTTTAGGGTTTAGGCTTTAGGGTTTAGGGTTTAGGGTTTAGGTGTTAGGGCTGGGGTTTAGGGCTAAGGGCTTCTAGGGTTTAGGGTTTAGGTCTGGGGTTTCGGGTGTAGGACATGTAGGGTTTGTAGGGTTTTGGGTTCAGGGCTTAAAGGGTGCAGGGTTTATAGGGTCTGCAGATATATCAGGCCGATTGTAGGGCTCATCAATCACAAGGCCTACCAGCAAACTCTAAACCCTAGACCCAAGCCCTAAACCCTAAGCCCTAATGCCAAAGCCTCGACCCTTTCAGTGTTTTGGGGCTCTTTGTTTCTTAGACTCAAGGTCTTCATGCCCCAGCCAGTCCTTCAATAAAACAGCAACTCAAAACTTCGAAACCCTTTTAGGGCTTCGCATTTAGGGTTTGGGGTTCCCAGGCTCTGAAAGCCCACTAACATGGGATTAAGTGTTCAGGGTGCCCAATCCTAGGCCCCAAATTTTCTTGGTATCCTAAAGCCCCGGAAGCCCAAACCCAACAAAACCCTAAACTCTACACCCTAAACCCTCAACCCAAATCCTGCACCGCTCCCTAAACCTGTCCTAAATCCTGCACCCCCTAAAGGTGCGCCGGACCCTTAAACCTTTGTCCCCTCCTCCTAACCCTGCCTTAACAAAACCCCTAGGGTTTCGGGTTTAGGGTTGAGGGTTTCGGGCACCCCCCCCCCCCCCCCCCACCCGCCGGGGCAACGTTAAAAACCCTATAAACCCCCCTAAACCCTAAACACATTTCATCAGGCGCCTATTTAATGTTAGGGCGGCCTTGTTGGGTTCTGTTGAGTCATGACCTACACTCTTGCAACCCGATGACCCCAACCCTAAGCCCTGAGCCCTAATGACCTACGCAAGTCCTGAACACGGAGGTGACGACCTACTTCGACCTTAATGGGTTTAGGGTTTAGGGTTTAGGGTTTAGGGTTTAGGGTTTAGGGTTTAGGGTTTAGGGTTTAGGGTTTAGGGCTACTAGGTCCAAGGGTAGCCCCGTATTCCTCTTTTTAAGGCAGAGGTTCTCTTATAAGACCCTTTGAAACCAAAAGGGGCACCCTTGTTCTTCCTCGGTTCTTCTTGCGTAAGCAGAGGCCTAGACCCTGAACCCTGAACCCTGAACCCTAAACCCCTAACCCCCTAAACCCTAAACCCTAAACCCCTAACCCCTAAACCCCTAAACCCCTAAACCCCTAAACCCCTAAACCCTTAAACCCCTAAACCCTTAGAGGTGACGATCTACTTCGACCCTCCGTACCCGAAGCAGCCGCCGCGGTGTTTTGTGACGCCGGGCACTCGGTGGATTGTTTACTTGGCTTTCTTCTGCTGGGTTTCGGGTTTAGGGTTGAGGGTTTAGGGTTTAGGGTTTAGGGTTTAGGGTTTAGGGTTTAGGGACCTTATTGGGTTTTTGTAGAAACTACAAGAAGGAGCCTAACAGTTAAACTGTTTAGGAGGGGTTCAGAAGTCAGCGCCAGGTTCGGGGGGTGTTGGGTTCTGGCTTTGGGGAGCAGAGGTTTAGGGACTTGGG